GAGGTTTCGATTTGTTCAATTCTTCGGTTTCAAGAGTCTTCTCCTTTATTTTTTTCTTCTTTTTCTCTTTATTTTCTTCTTCGTCTTCTACTTCTTCGATCTTAGGTTTCTTATCACCCTCTTCTTCTTCAGTCTTAACTTCGGTTTCTTCTTCTTCGACTTCCTTCTCAACTTCTTTCTCAACGAGGAGTTGAATAGGATAACCAATGAATTCAGAATGCTTTTTGACAACTTCTTTAATTCGCTTTTCTTCAAGATATTCAAGTTGATCTTCCTTCAAGAAGAGCCTCACTTCTGAGCCTCGTCCAAGTGGTTCATTTATCGTGTCGCGAGTGATTGTAAATGATCCACCAGCTGCCGATTCCCAGATATATTGCTCGTCGTCATTATGCTTGGTGATGACTTGTACACGATCGGCGACCAGGTAAGCTGAATAGAAACCTACACCAAATTGACCAATCATGGAAATATCGGCGCCAGATTGGAGAGCTTCCATAAAGGATTTTGTACCAGATCGAGCGATAGTGCCAAGATTATTAACGAGATCAGCCTATGGATTTAAAAAAAGTATAGCACATAAATTTGTGGGTTTCACATAAATTCCAATAAATGGAATTAGCTTTTTAACACAATCATACCTTGGTCATTCCAATACCGGTATCTCGGATGGATAACACTTTATTTTCTTTATCCGGTATGATTTTGATGTATAGTTCTTTACCGGTATCAAGCTTTGATGGATCCGTGAGTGATTCATATCGGATTTTGTCCAAGGCGTCAGAGGCGTTGGAAATTAACTCACGAAGGAAAATCCTTTTTATAGACGTAAAATAAAATATTGTTATCAGTATACATGTAATTTTAACAATGAGTACATGTGGCATAAATTTTTTTAACAATGAATACATATGGTGATAGTATTCTTTATAACAAAATGTATAAAAAAATAAAAGCTATAAGCTACTCACTCTTTATTTGAGTAGAAAGTGTTGATAATAATGGACATAAGCTGAGAAATCTCAGCTTGGAAGGCAAATTGTTCTGGTTCGGACATTTTGGCTTGTACTTAGTTTTGTTAGTATTGAAAAGTTAAATTAATAAGGGGTTGTTATTATATACAAGTAAATTCGGGGTGTTTTTAGGGCAACGTTAACTATAAGATCGAAGAAGTAGAAGACGAAGAAGAAAATAAA